GAAATGAAAGCCATCTATAGTCATATGAAAAAATGTTCTAAATCACTATTGATTAGAGAAATGCAAATCAAAACAATTCTGAGGTACCACATCACACCTATCAGATTGGTCAACATGACAAAACAGGAAAATGATAAATATTGGAGAAGATGTGGGGAAATTGGAACACTAAGGCACTGCTAGTGGAGTTGTGAAATGATCCAACCATTTTGGAGAGCAATTTGGAACTATGCCCAAAGGGCTATAAAAATGTGCATACCCAACAACAGTGCTTCTATCCCAAAGAGATCACACAAATGGGAAAAGGACCCACATGTACAAAAATATTTATAGCAGCTCTTTTTGTGGCGGCAAAGAATTGGAAATTGAGAGGATGTCCATCAATTGGGGAATGGCTGAACAAGTTGTGGTATATGAATGTAATGGAATACTATTGTGCTATAAGAAATGATGAACAGGCTGACTTCAGAAAAACCTGGAAAGACTTTTATGGACTGATGCTGAGTGAAGTGAGCAGAACCAGGAGAACGTTGTACACAGTAACAGCCACATTGTGTGATGACTAACATTTATAGACTTAACCCTTCTCGGCAATACAAGGATCTAAGACATCTCCAAAGGCCTCATGATGGAAAATGCTATCCACAAAGAAGAAAGAACTATGGAGTCTGAATGCAGATCGAAGAATACTATTTGCTATTTTTTTTTTCTTCTGTTGTATTTTGTTTCCTCTTTCTTGTGGTTCCTTCTATTGGTTCTAATTCTTCCTTATAACATGACTAATATGAAAATATGTTTAATAGGAATGTATATGTATAGGCTATATCAGACTGCTTACCTTTTTGGGGAAGGAGGTGGAGAGGGAGGGGGAGAAAAATTTAAAACTCAAAAGCTTATGGAAATGATTATTGATCAATCAAAAGAAATTAATAAAAAAAGAAAAAAGTTTTTTGCCATATTTCAAGTATGATTTTTATTATACTCCAGGGCAAGCACAGGAATATTTCTCTTGTTTTATAGGGAAGTCAATGGAAAAATGGAAGAATATAAAACAGAAATTTTAAGAACTTTCCAGAAAAGTCTCTATTCCATGTATATTTAACTGTAAAATAATTTCTACCTTTCTATTACTGTGATCAAATATATACAATGTCTACCTTTCTATTACTGTGATCAAATATATACAAATATAATTTCCATAGCCTCTTTTTAATAATAGTCAGACTAACATTCTAGGTAACCATAGCTGTCATTTATATAGTGCTTTCAATTTGCCAAGCAATTTACATCCATAATTTCATTTGGTAGCATTTCCTGTGGGGCTTCTTTAATGAACCTCAGTTTCTCATCATGTGTACTTTATTCCATGATCATTTTTTATATGTGATTTTTCTCTTTTTCAGTCCTTCAAGGATCTAAGATTTCATCAGTGTAGATGTTCTCTCCACGGATGGAGACTGAAAGTCTTCTCTGCCTTAATTGATAGTTTTCATGAGGTACCACGGTTGAAAGTATCCATTACCCTACAGCTTGCCATTTAATGAGTTTGTCCAACCTTAGCCAGGCTGGTCTTCAAATGCCAGAAGTACAATCACCTGACCTCCTTGAAGCCTTTTCAGTTTCATAAAACCTGCCAGGGATTCTGCACTGCCCTACAAGAAGACACTGAAAGAAGACTTTTTCTGCAAGTATTATAATTACTGACATTTTATTCAAATTCTTTCATCACCTTTTATGATACCCCCATCACTATACTACATGCCAAAATCATTATATACCATTCAATTTATTTTCTAATTAGTAGACATAGCTATGTTTCAAAATGTCTGCCACCTAACAGCTGATGGCAGATGGGTGTCATACATGCTACATTCACTTCCTGCTCTAAGGGAGAAAAACGGAGGCAGCAGACAAATGCTCCTGACAGATAATGCTCTCCTTCTCATTCTTTATGTCATCATTTCCTCCTATCTCAGACAAAGGAGAGCAAAACAACGGAATTTTCCAAGATGACTTGGGAAAGGGACCTTTCACACAGCAGCTTCTGGTAAGCAATTTATGATTCCTTTTTTGAGCTCCAAGGTATACACAATAATACACCCCGGGAGAAAGAGGTGGAATCAGAGGCCTGGGCTCCAGGCCTAGCTCTGGCATTTACCCATCAAGGAAGTAACTATAGACAAGTCATTCCACCTCTTTTGAGTCTCTGTCACCTCATATATAAAATTGGAAGAAAAAAACTTACACTGCTATCCCTCAGGGTTGTGAGGAAATCATTTTATAAACAGTCATTTAAAAATTCAGGTATTATTACTATAAACATTGATCTAGTTACATAATTCTAAAATTTTCCACGTATGCTGTCAATTATGTATGGCCTTCTGAAAAGTAAAAATATGAAAAAAATAAAATCAGGTTTTTGACAATATCTCCTTTCCTTAAACTTAGTTTCTAAAAGACTACACATTTAGGAAATGAAATTTCTTATAAAGGTGACATAATATTTTTAATGTCAAGACTCGTTTATTTGCAGTTATTTTCTGAACTATGAATTTATCATGTGATATTAAATGTCTAACATATTTTAATGGCATTTCCCACACTTTCACCCCACCCAGGAATAGGTCCATCATTAGAACACTCCCCATTAGCAGTGGCATGCTTCAGAAAATAGAGAGAGACAAAAGGTTGGCTGACAATATAACAAGCTGCCAGTTACTTCCCTGAAAAAAGGCAAGAAATACCATATGGTCTGCAATGCACAACCTCAATTATTTTAATGTTACCCTTTTCTGGATACATTTTTCCTTTCAGAAGAGATCTCTGATCATGCATCCAACCTCGAATTACAATGAATATGCAATCTTAAACTGAGGGGAAAAACTCCAAGAAGTTACTCTGCTCCTCACCATCCCCAAAGTCTACACTATTAAACTACACTTGTACTGAAATGTAATAATGAAATTCATTTATTCAGACATTTCCAAAGAGAAATACTCTATATGCTAAGCCTAATTAGTTGCTTCATTGATCTAAAAAACAAAAACAAAACAAAACAAAAAAAAAACCCCTTGGAGACATTACACACCAAATTTGCTGTCAATCTGTCTGACTCCCCAGGTTCTTAAATTCTAAGGGTTCATTGTGTCAAAGTTTCCTGCTGCTACTTTGAATTGTCATAAGGATACTACTCCTTTGATCTTTGCTATTAAAAGTTTCCAACTGAACACTTCAGCAAAAACAACATACTACTAGACTTTTTTTTAAAGTAACCACATTAAAAATCAGCAGACATTATATTTATACACTAGATTTTCTTAGTTTTCATTTACACACCCAACATTAAGAACTTCAATTTTGAATTCTTCAATAAAGCAGGCATCTACTAAGATAATTAGCTTTATGTGTTATTCATATGAGTAATTATGAAATACAAGTATAATTTCCAGTATTGATGCTAAAATTAACCCACAGATCAATAAACACCTGACTCAAACATAATGTATATAAGAAAACATATATTTACAAAAATAAATGTTTAACAGTATAATTCTGACATGCCCAACTATTCAATGACACAAATTACACCTAAAAAATTATTTAATTAAATTATTCAATTAAATCATTCCAAATTGAGTTTATTTATTACTACCTAAGATTATCTGGATATCTGGATTTGAATATTTTGCCTTTCCCCTCTATAAAAGCTATTTGAAAAAAATCACACAAATAAAAAATAACCTATTAAAATTTGAAAAGCTGAATTAGAAATCACATTTTTATAGATCACAACCAAACAACCTACTCTTTTTAACAAGGCATAATAAAAAATGTAAAACTTATAACCAGCAATTGTCATTAAAAGTTTTAAACATGAAATCTGAAAAAAGCATTCTATTATTTTCTTTTCAAAGGTTGTGCTTATGCACACACACTTCTATAGAGGATTTGGAATTCATAAAGCTTCTCTTTTTTATTCCACACACTCAAATGAGGATAATGTTTCATTACTTTTCAAGTAGTAAACAAACTAACAGACACTCAGACCACAGGAGTCCAAGACTTTGACGTAGTCAAGTAGTAATCTGTGTATCCTTCCTATTTTCCAAAGTCTCAACTCAATTGTTTCGGGGTACACAAAGTTCATCTGTCCTTCCAAGCCTCTTACTCTTACATTCATTTTCAGGAAAAAGACCAGAGTCTAAAAAGTTCTCCTAGATCAGGATAACGTGCTTTTCCTTTTTCTTCTACAAGTTTAATAAGATGAAAACTGCTGATATAAATCCAGTATATTTGTCAGATACATCCCTTTATAGCACTCAGTGAAAATGATACAAAAGTATATTCTATTAATGCTTTTGTGTAGAGTATTAAACATCTGAGTATTACTATGATTACTCTATCATTAGTTTAAAATATGCCTAAATTGCAAATTTTAGGGCTTTCAATGTGTCTTAATTTTGTTTCCCTAATAAGTACTACATTGCATACCAATTATTCATAATTCTACATATATTCTGTACAACACCAAGAGCATAAAGAACTTATCAAAATGTATTCAGTGAATCTCCTTAAAAATTCCTACACAATAGGCTGAGAGAATAAGCTTATTCCTTTCTTTAAGTGGAGAAGAGAGCAACGAAGCATTTATTCCCTAGAATGGATACTCAGCAAGAAAAGATTGAAGTCTTCTACCATCCAGCCCAATCATCTAGAAATCTACAAAGGCCACTGGCTTATAGATTACCTTGAATTAATTCTCAAAATGTTAATCTTTACACTTAAAAAAGAAGGGGGGGAGGAGGCTGGGGGAGAGAAGGATCTTTTTTCCATATAAGGATAACTATGAATTAGTCCTCATAAGGCATGAAAATACTTTACATAATCCTATATAAAAATAACTTCTCTGTTCCTAACCCATTTAAATTAAGAATGTTTAAAGCAACATGAAATCAAGCAAAATCAAACACAGGAAATCAAAGACATTCACTCCCTGTTACCTGTCTCCGCTCCCTCCGAGATAAGGTGCTACCATGGAGAATTCGCCAAAGTGTCCGTGCAGCAATCTTTGTATCAATCCACAACAACCGGAAGCCATGATAATAGTGCTTCAACTCATCCACAACCTTCTGAACAAGTGATTTCTTCACAACCGCCTCTACAGTGGGGCTGTACACAGGCCCACCTTCTTCAAGCTTCTTATTTTTATCCTTAATAGACTTCAGGGACTTTTCCACTACCGAGTCATCTCGAAGGGGACAAGAAGAATGCAAGCACCGCACAGAAACGTGTGGAGGTTCCAGAGAGCGCAAATGGGAAAGAGGCGTCCATGATTTAGGAGATCTTATTACCATATATGTTTGTTCAGGTCTTTTAGTCCAACAATTTAAGTGATCGCTTTTGAAGGAAATGTAAACAGGGTGGACATGAGTGCAACAACCAAACTTAATATTCCTTTAAAAAAAAGAGAGAGAACAGTGAGCAATCAAGGAATTTAACTTAAGATCTAAAAACCATGGACAGCTATAGCAAGCTGAAGCAAACTAATATGCCATACTTTGTCAAAAAATACCTGTATAAAGTGGCTCTGGACAAATAACATTAAAATCAGTCAAGACAATATACTAACTAAATGCTTTGTGTTAAAATGTCTTCAGAGTAATTCGCTGTAGACTATTTACTGAAAAAAATTCCTTCTTGAGTCAAGAAACTAACCACTTTTCTTTTACCATAAATCTATATAAATAACATGAAAGGGAAATTTTGAAGTCTCTCGCCTCCAAGGTGACCTATTTATAAATGTTTGAATGGCTGGTTCCTATGGAGTTTGAATAAAAAGAAAAGACAGAAGTGGTCTGATTGGCTAGCTCAATTGGGTAAGACATGATACCAATGAAGACAGGATTGTCAGATTGATCTACATCGAAGTAAGAGGTTTTCCTCTTCTTCTGAAATCCCAAGGTACTCCAAAAAAGTATAAATCAAGCTTATCTTTATGGTCAATAGGTAGGCTCTGAATGTATGATTCTCAGGAACCATATAGCCTTCAAAATATCCCCATAACACAATTCTCCAAAAAAGGGGAGGAAGAATTTTTCCTTCTATAATCTGGCATAAAAGGTAAAATTCCTAATTGATTTTTTTTGAACTACTTGTAAATTTTTAACACAATGGAGTTATATTCAAAGTATAATCAGTTAAGTATAAATGATTCAGTCTCATCTTCCTCAGCTTCTCTGTAGTTAATGTCATAGATCAACCCTCCCCAATCCCTCCCCATTCTGGGTACCTCACCAACCTTGGCTCTCTTATACAGCTATTTTCTAAATGGAGCTATTTTCCACAGTTTTCCCCAATGTCTCTTCCAAGGTCTAGACCTGTACATCCAAATACCTTGCCTACAAGACCTCACCACCACCCTCTGAGATTCTCCAAATTAGATCAAATTAGTACTTTGATACTTGACCTCAATGTAAATTTGGTCATAGGTTAAGGGTCATAAATAAATGAAATTCGGAAAATTATGTTCAGGAGCAAAGAATAAGACAGACCAAAAAATTGTATAAACACACACACACACACACACACACACACACACACACGGACACACAGAGTAGTTTCACACCTATAAATCATTAATACTTTAATGCCTTAAAAGTCTCTTCCTCAACAAGGTGTTTATGTTCACTATTGCTGTGGAAATGTAAAATCCAAATTGAAGAGGGATTTCCTCTAAAGAGGTGCTCCAGATCAACTTGCTGCTATTAGATCATGCTAATTGCACCAAGCCCTTCTCATCTAGAAGAACAAGATAACGATAGGGAAAAAACTTCCTATAGAAGTAATACTTGCAATGTAACAGGTTAGAATTTCAAGACTTGTCTCTAAAACCTCATTATTTCCTCCTAAACCTTATCCCTACAATACTAGTAGATATCACCAGGTGACAGTAGTGCCAAGCACCACTTCTGCAGCTCAGCAAACACTGGGGACTTTCATAAACAAGATTAAAATATGCATAGAGAAGACAAATATTTTTCAACAAAAACCTAACTGTGAAAACAATTTGTATTATATAATAGTTTCCATAAAAATGAAATTAAAAAGAAAAACACAATAAAGATCTCAAATGAAGAGAAAGACGGCAAGTACTTCACTGCTTGGTTTACTTGTTATCAGTTACTACTTAATAATACGCCAAGAACTATTCTAAAGCTAGAGACACAAAGACTCTAAAACTTCACTTAAAAGGGAAAATCTTCAGGGCCATTCATGTACAGGCCCTGTCTAACATGACATGGCGCTGCTTGAAAAGCCTCTAAAGCTAGCTACTTCATGCCTTAGGCTTAGACATTTGCATCACACTTTTAGTCATAGCCTTACTCTCCCTTTCTTCCTCAGTAAGACCCTACTCCACCTCTCAAAACGTAGACAGATAGGGGCAGCTAGGTGCTGAAGTGGACAGAGCTCTGGCCTTGAAGTCAGGAGGACTCGAGTTCAAATCTGGCCTCAAACATTTGACACTTACTAGCCTGCGCAAGTCACTTAACCCCAACTGCCTCACCAAAAAAAAGTAGCCAGATTTAGATAAGACCTCAAATGAACTAAAAAGCTCCATTCTTTCCTCTCATAATCATAACAGAAAAGGGGAAGGGCATTTTGGTTTTCCTTTTTCCCATTTAATCTAAGACCTCTGATCCTAAATTCCTAACCAGAAAACTACTTCTCCAGGGGTGCCTGGAGAATACCATACCTGGTATTCACAAAAGTTCATAACATCAAAGGCACCCTCTATTCCCCTTCACCTCTTATATCCAATCCATTGCCATGGCCTTCTATTCTAACTAAGGTTCTCTTATATCTGGTCCCATTCTCTTTCCTTACATGCCATTCTAGTTAAGGATCTCATCCCTTCTAAACAATGCTTAGGACCACTACAAAGAGATTTAAAAAAAGAAAAGAAAAGAAAAGGGCCTATAAGTACAAAAATATTTATCCCAGCTCTTTTTGTGGTAGCAAAGAATTGTAAAGTGAAGGGAATGCCCATCAATTGGAGAATGGTAGCTAAACAAGTTGTGGTATATGATTGTGATGGAACACATATTATGCTATAAAAAAAGACAAGCAGGATGTTTTCAGAAGAACCTGGGAAGACTTACATGAACTCATGCAGAGTGAAGTGAGCAGAACCAAGAGAACATTGTACACAACAACCGCAACACTGTATGATAATCTACTGTGAATGACTTAGCTCTTCTCAGAAATACAATGATATAAGACAATTATGAAGGACTCTTGATGAAAATGCTGTCCTGATAAGAGTCTGAATGCAGGTAAAAACATACTTTTTTTTACTTTATTTTTCTTGGGTTTTGGGGGGGAAGAGGGATCTGTGTTTTCTTTTACAACATGATTAATACAGAAATATGTTTTGCATGCCTGTACATGGATAATCTATATCAAACTGCCTGCCTTCTTAATGAGAAGAGGAAGGGAGGAAGGGAGAGAATCTGGAAATCAAAATTTTTAAAAAATAATGTTAAAAATCTTTACATATAATTGGAAAAAAAATTTTTTTAAATGCTTAGCACCAGCTCTGATAAGGTACATAAGACCTTCAAAAATTCCTTGCCCTTACTATGGGAAATAAATATGACTCTCAAACTGAGATCATTAATGCCCCAAATTCAAGTACTGGTTACAACAAAAAATACCTCACCAAGCTCTTCCTGTATATTTATACTCTAAATCCACATGCTGATAAATGATCATTTTTTAATCTTAGAATTTGAAAGTATATTTTAAACACTCATTTCAGATTATTAAAATGTTTAAATGTCATTTTTTTTATTAACAATACCTTTTGTTTTAGTATCAGTCATTTCCAGATATACCCCTACCCACCCACTGAGCCTTTCCTCGTAATATAAAACCAACACATACAGCAATGACATCTAATAGCATAAGCTGCATTCCACATCCAGGCTCCTGCTTTTCTAAGAAAAAGAAGGAAGTCCATGCATTTCTGTGGGCCCATGATTAGGCATTATAATTACATAATTATCTAGAATTACTCTTCATTTTCATACTCTACTCTTTTATACTGCTGTAGTCATTGTACACTGTAGTCTTAGTTGTTTCTAATTCATTCTGACACTTTGTTCATTTAAGTCATCTTGAATGGGAATTCTCTGAATTCCCCATATTCAACATTTCTTACTGTCATTCTCTGATCAATAGATGCCCATTTTGTTTCTATTTTTTTCTTACTGTAAAAGAGCAGCTAAAAATCTTCTGGAATATATGAGGCCTTTTTTCCTTTTACTTCTTTGAAGTAATCCACACTAATCCAAGAGTAGATCTGAAGAACAGCTTTGTAAACTGTAACACTATTTAAATTAAGATATTATTATAATTTCTTTATTTATTTGGTATCTATATGGATGTGCACACTCAATCAATATTTGCTGAATCTCTATTACCTCTTAACAAAAATAGTGAGTTGGCCATACTTTTTTCTTCTATTTTATAGAAATGTCTACTTAAAACATTGTAAACTGGTTTCTACAAAAGTAAAATAGTTTAATTTCAGAGAAAGTGGCACTTTCATCATCAGATGTTAATGGATTTTTTAAAAAGTTGGAATTAATTTGTGAAGCAGTTAAAGAACTTTATGCTTTATAATGCTTAATATAATGTTTAAGTAGTAGTAAAATTTGCTCCCTGCCACTGCTCTACAGTACAGCAGAAACCTTAAAATGAAATTAGGTTTTAATTAATTAATTTAATTAATCTTATCTCTAAGCCCCAGTTTCAGAATTCAGCATTTCAGTATGAATTGTTCAATCAAAAAATGAAACTGCTGTAAAACACAGATCACGAAATACTGCAGATGAAGGACTGTAAAAAGGTTCAATTTAATTTATTTTGCAAGAATCACAATTATAAAGCCATTTTTTCCTCAAATTCTAATGGTCATATTTTATGCTACCTACTAGAATAATACCTTGGAAGAGATAAGAGGAAATAAATTTCAAATGATCAAAGGCTATTTCAGGTAATGCTTTAAAAAAAAAAACTAAAGGTAGAATCTAAAGGAAAATAAATTTAGAGACTGATTTTCTCTACAATGATCTGAAGACACATCTATTAGGATCACACAGTGAACTCAGAAACCAACTGTATTAAAACTTATAGTCAAGTCCTATTATGTATTTTTTTAAACACTTTATTTCTTAAGATACTTGAGGAAGGGAAAAAACTAAATGCCCCTTTAATCATTATTAGCATTCTTATCAACTGAAATTTGGTTAAAATTTTCATAACAGACCGAGATATGTGAAAAGCAAAGTCAACAACCTGACACCTTCAACAAAAAATTAGATGTAAAAATTTTTAATTTACTAGTCTCCTATATGAATTCCTTAAAAGAAACTGCATAATTTTGATACTGA